CTCAGGGAAAGAGCTTACTCTTAATAATGTGCTGCATGTACCAGACATCAGGAAGAACTTGGTCTCTGGGTCACTACTAAGCAAGAATGGGTTCAAGCTGGTCTTTGTATCTGATAAGTTTGTGCTGACTAAGAATGGGGTGTATGTGGGCAAAGGGTATCTAAGTAATGGACTATTTAAGTTCAATGTAATGACTGTTGTACCCAAAGCTATTAATGATAATAATAAAGCTAGTGCTTCTTCTGCTTATATTATTGACTCATCTGATGTATGGCATGGTAGGTTAGGACATGTTAATTATGATACTATTCGTAGATTGATTAACATGGAATCTATACCTAAATTTAATATTGATTTAAATAAAAAATGCCAAACATGTGTAGAAGCAAAATTGACTAGAACCTCATTTCACTCCATAGAGCGAAGTACTGAACCTCTAGCATTAATTCACAGTGATATCTGTGACTTTAAATCTGTGCCAACTAGAGGTGGGAAAAAGTATTTCGTTACTTTTATTGATGACTGCACAAGATATTGTTATGTATACTTGTTAAGAAGTAAAGATGAAGCCTTGGAAATGTTTAAACATTACAAGAATGAGGTTGAGAATCAACTTGGAAAAAAGATAAAGATGTTTAGAAGTGATAGAGGTGGTGAATACGAAATACCATTCGCTGACATTTGTTCAGAACATGGTATTATTCACCAAACTACCGCTCCTTATTCACCTCAACAGAACGGTGTTGCTGAACGCAAAAACCGTACCTTAAAAGAAATGATGAATGCTATGTTGATAAGTTCTGGTTTAACCCAGAATTTGTGGGGGGAAGCTTTGCTCTCTGCTAATTATGTTCTCAACAAGGTACCTCAAAAGAAATCAAATGTGACACCTTATGAATTATGGAAAGGTCAAAAACCTTCCTATAAATTCTTAAAAGTGTGGGGGTGTTTAGCTAAGGTTGCGGTTCCTACTCCTAAGAAAGTTAAGATAGGACCAAAAACCTTTGATAGTATTTTCATAGGCTATGCACAGAATAGTAGTGCATATCGTTTTCTTGTGCATAAATCAGACATTCCTGATATCCATGTCAATACAATTATTGAGTCAAGGAATGCTTATTTCTTTGAGGATATATTTCCTTGCAAAAATCCTCTTAAAAGAAATTATGATACTGCTAATAGCAATATACAAGAGAATATAGACCAAGAGTTTATAGATGATGAAAATGAGGAAGAACCTAGACGTAGCAAAAGAGCTAGAACGTCTAAGTCATTGGGTCCTGACTTTCTGACATATATATTGGAGAATGAGCCACAAAGCTACAAGGAAGCTATGTCTTCTCCTGAAGCTAATTTATGGAAAAAAGTCATAAATAGTGAAATTGAATCCATCATGCAAAATCATACTTGGGAGCTGGTGGATCTTCCTCCTGGTACTAAACCTTTAGGGTATAAGTGGATTTTCAAGAGGAAGATGAAGCCTGATGGTTCAATTGAAAAATATAAAGCCCGACTTGTTGCTAAGGGATATAGGCAAAAAGAAGGCCTGGATTATTTTGATACATATTCACCAGTCACAAGAATAACATCCATTAGATTGTTACTAGCTATTGCAGCACTGCAAAACTTAGAAATACATCAAATGGATGTTAAGACTGCCTTCTTAAATGGTGAATTAGAGGAGGAAATCTATATGGAACAACCTGAAGGGTTTATAGTTCCAGGGAAAGAAAAGAAGGTGTGCAAACTTGTAAAATCCTTATATGGATTAAAACAAGCACCTAAACAATGGCATGAAAAATTTGACAAAGTGATGTTGTCAAATGGTTTTAAAATTAATGAGTGTGATAAATGTGTGTATGTGAAAAACACTCAAAATGGATATGTCATTGTGTGCCTATATGTGGATGATATGCTAATAATGGGTAGTAATGATGTTATAATCAAAACTACTAAAAAGATGTTGACCAAAAAATTTGATATGAAAGATTTAGGCATAGCAGATGTCATACTAGGAATTAAGATTTCTAGAACATCAGATGGTCTAGTATTATCTCAATCTCACTATATTGAGAAAATATTAGAAAAGTTTAATAAAGGGGATAGTAGTCTTGTAAAGACTCCTGTTGATGTAAATCTTCATTTATCGAAAAATACTGGTCCTAGCATATCACAACTTGAGTATTCTCGTATTATAGGAAGCTTAATGTATTTGACGAATTGCACACGCCCAGACATAGCATACTCAGTTAATAAATTGAGTAGATATACTAGTAATCCAGGAAAGAACCATTGGACTGCAATAATTAAAGTTCTAAGGTATTTAAAATATACTATAAGTTATGGATTACATTATTCTAGATATCCAGCAGTACTTGAAGGATACAGTGATGCTAATTGGATATCAGATACTAAGGATTTTAAATCCACAAGTGGCTATGTCTTTACTATTGGAGGAGGTGCCATATCTTGGAAATCTTCAAAACAAACTTGTATTGCCAGATCCACTATGGAATCTGAATTTATTGCTTTGGATAAAGCAGGTGAAGAAGCTGAGTGGCTTCGTAATTTCTTAGAAGATATTCCAAATTGGCCTAAACCGGTGCCCGCTATATGTATACATTGTGATAGTCAATCAGCAATTGGAAGGGCACAAAGTAATATGTACAACGGTAAGTCTCGACATATACGTCGACGACATAATACCGTTAGACAATTGCTCTCAAGTGGGATAATCTCAATAGATTATATCAGGTCAAAAGATAATTTAGCGGATCCGTTTACAAAAGGTTTGACAAGAGAGCAAGTATATAGTTCATCGAGGGGAATGGGATTAAAGCTGAAAGCTAACGAGTCATCTTAATGGAAACCCAACCTAGTTGACTGGAGATCCCAAGATCTAGGTTCAAAGGGACAACAGAAATACTGAATGGCTCACCAGAAGCACTGGGAAGATTCAATCTTCTACCCATTTCTATGATGAGACAGTGTTACCTACAGCGATGAATAGGATAAGCTATGCTTTTAATGACTCTTATACCTTGAAAATTCAAGTGGGGTATGGTAGGATACTCTTAATAAGAAGTCACCTATATGAGTGTGAAGTGGGGCCGCTTCTATGAGAACTTCTAAGGCTAAGTTTTCTGGAGCGCTCATGATATACCAGGCGTTGTTCAGGGCCATATGAACACAACCGTGAGAACCGACTTTGTGTGGGAAGGAATTGTGTGTTTGCTATTGTCTTGGTTTACATCAACGGCTGAACAGTTCAAGACATAATGTTCACTGGTTAGCTAGTAAATCCGATAGTAATACACTAGGGAAGGTTCAAGGCCAAAAGCTACCTATCCCGATGCAGTAACTTTCCAATAGTACTCTCTATAGTGTCTGTATCTTCTCCTTTTGTAATCTGCGCAAATTTTCATTCATGTGGGGGATTGTTGGAAACGGCATTAGAAAACGCAAACTTTGGAAGGATTTTTAAAAAGATTCCGCTAAGAATTTTTTGCGAATCTATTGACGAACGCGTTCCTCTCTGCGAGGAGATGAACGTGGTATATTTATTTTCTCAAATCCGTTTCCGGGTGAATGAGAAATTGGCTCCAAAGTAAGTGATTTATAAAGCCTAAATGGGTGTGAATAAAGTGGGAAATGCTTGTCCCACATCGAAAAAGTAGCAAAGCAACCTTGAGTATATATATGTCTAGTATGGGATTTGGGTTTGGGCCCAAGGGCACCCAAGTTTTTAAGAGGGGGAGGACCTAGGCTAGCCTGGATCCGAACCAACTACCACACGCGCGCGTCGCCCGACCCGACCCGGTCCGGTCCGGGCTAGGGCGGGGCGGGGCTTGATTGTGAAATGGGTTTAACTTTTTACCAAAAGTTGGGATGGGCCTGTGTGGTTGTAATTTTATTTTGTTGCTGGACTTATCAAAATGGGCCTGTTTACTGGGCTGAATTAATGGCCGAGTTGGATTATTTGCTTGTTGGACTGGACGAAATTAAAGGGCTGGGCTGGATCAGAATTAAAAGGATTCAGTTTTAAATTTTGAACCAAGAGTTGCACCCTTTACAAATTAAAAACCACCAACAGTTTTTTAATTCTGATTGGTCAACAATGGTTGCACCCATTCGGACTATGGGTGCACCCATTCAGAATAGGCACCAACAAGCCTATAAATACCCATCATTGGGTTCATTTCAATTCACACCAAGTTCAGAAATCTTCTTCTCTTCTTCTGAATATCTTCTTCTAATTCTTCTTTGTTCGGTTCAGCCACTGGTTTGGGTTCAACCTAAACTGGTTTGGATTGGGTTCGAACCTTGGTTTCCAAGTTTCGGTTCAATCTTGGTCTCCGAGTTAGGGTTCAATCCTGGTCTCCGAGTCTGAGTTCAACAGAGAGTACTACACCGAGCCGATTCGCCTATTCCATTGGTTTGAAGTGCTACTACCAAAGGAAGAAAAGTCGTTGTATCCTGGGAGATAGACGCCGAAGAGTCCGTTAGCACCGTAGCGGGGCGTATCTGTCTTAAGGCTATAGAATTAAATTCTAACCTCGACTTTATCAGGTTCTTTTATAGTATTATTTTCTTGATATTAAACTATATAAATATATATATAGATTATTATAATAAATATTATATTTACAAATAATATTTAAATAAATTATACTATAGTATATGATACATATTTTTATTTTCAACAACTCATGCATGGAGTTAATGAAGTGGACCACACTATATTACAACACAAGCAATACTATGTATAATTACATGATGTTTTGTTACCATATATATATATATATTTAAGAAGAGTGAAATAAGTCAATTTGATCAAATATTCTAAAACATCATGGTCGAACATTATTTGAATTATTAATCAATCCTAATAACAAATAAAATATCTAAATGAATTAAAGTACTTTATTTTTCTATCTGAATTAGCTTCAGAGATTGAACAAAAATAAATAAAATAAAACAAAGTAAAAAAAAAAATCCATTCAAGACTTCATAGTCATTTTCCATGACAACCAATCTTTATGCATATGAACTGGGCATCCAAAAAATCCTTCAGCAGCTACCGAATCCGAAATAAGAAAATCATAACCAGCAAATAAAAAAGTTTTGTCAATTCCCTCCATCGCTTGTAACTCTAAAAACACTTCTTCTCCCAAATAAAATCGTCGTGTGCCTTTCTCAGCCACCGCATTTGCTTTCTCAGCCACGACATTTGCTTTATCAAGAGCACTTGCAATTTTGTTCTCCGTGCCTGTAATATTATTGATATTGTTGTTAAGCTCATCCGTTTTGGTTGTCTTTTTCTTATTACCCTTTGATGAAGATGAAGATGCAGATGCAGATGCAGATGGAACATAAGCAGTAGAGGATTGTTGAATTGTATATTCGTCTTCAAAATTTTCAAGATCAATCTCGTTTCTGGCCAATAAGTCATCAATGTCCTCAATTGTCTTTCCTTCATTTGCCAAACGACGTTCATTTTCTTCATTTGTCCAATGACGATTTTTTTCTTTCGCACTTTCAGTTGCTCCCCCCGTAGCTCGATCTTTTTCAAAAATTTCACGAAGCAAATTAAGGTATGGAAGTGTCGCATTGCGCACTTTTTTTGCATCAGGATAAGACTGTTATTATAAAAATACTTCACAAGTTAAAACTATTATATAAGAAAATTGGGAAAGAAAAATGCATAAGAAATTTTTTTACTTACTTTAATTAAAGCATCCCACACATAATTTGTTGCATCAATTTTTTTGGTAATATCGTTCCAAGCAAATCCATTATCACGTTTGAAAACTTCTAAGGCAATATCCATTTTCCATTTTAAAGTCTTTAGTCGATTTTGCATTTTATCTTTATTCACTTTCACAGGGAATCGTGCATTGATAGCATCAACAGCTACACCATAAGCGGAAGGGTTGAAATTCCTATCAGGCTTTTGTCCTTGTAGTTTTTGTTCATGCAACTGTTCAAGAAGATACAAATCCATTTGAAGTGCCACACCAAATATCCATTTGTATTTGTTCTTTCATCTCCTTCTTGTATATCCATTTTTTGGGTTGTTACAAACCATCATCAATAAGTGTAGGCTGACAATAATGAAAAGATAAAAAACATTCAATGCATCACTATCTTAAAAGATTTAAACAATTATATGTTAATGTCAAACAATAACTAAGAATTATCATCCATTTATTGACTACAAATAAAGATAAATAAGAAATTATATTTAAACAGGTGGAGAAAATTAAAATTTGATACCAAACAAATCAGAAGATTATTTTATTTTAATATATGAAAATAATACTATAACTAACAACTATCTATTAGCTAAATAATTAACCCACATGTTTGCCGCTATATGATCTCTTTTCATTGATCCTTGTCTACCTTCTTCAGTCGCATCTACATTTGAATGTTCTTGTGCATGTTGTACTTCCTCATTCAAGAGATCTTCATCAACTTCTGCAATAAGTGTATCATCTGGTTCTACTCCCGTAAGAAAATTGTGTAATATGCAATAAGCCAATACAATTTCTGTTTGTGTCTCAAAGCCATATTGTGGTTAAGTACCACTAGCCAAAATTGGAAATCTCTTTTTAACTATGCCGAATACTCTTTCAATTGCATTACGGAAAGAAGCATGTCTAAGATTAAATATTTCTCAGGATGTTTGTGGTCCACGAGTTGAGTATTCTTTTAAGTGATAATGCATTCCTCGATAAGGGGCAATAAATTTGGATTTCAATGCATATCCAGTGTCAACTACATAATATTTGCCTAAAAAAAAAAAAAAAAATTAATTACATACTCATATTAGTTGTAAAATAAAAATAATAATTAATTTACCTTCTGGAACCTCTAATTTGTTTTCTCTCCTTAATGCATCATCCAAAATTTTAGAATCAGATGCAAACCCTTCCCATTCAGGCAATACATAAGTAAATTTTAGATCAAAGCTGCATGCTGCCAAGACATTCTACGTCGAAAAATCTTTTCTTCCTCTAAATCTGGCCACATCATGTTTTGAAACTTTCACACGAATGTGTGTTCCATCAATAGCTCCAACATAGTCCTATCATATTGGATATATTTAAAATTTTCAACCAATATAATTTAAAATTATATTTAATTTAATTAAATTTTAAATTACCTAAAAGAACGGATATAATCTATTGATATTCTTTATTTCTGGAGAAATTCTTGTTCCATCTAGTTGGATAAAAAATTTATCTTCCAATGATAGTATAGCCCTCAAAACCTTGTGAAAATGACGACTAATAGTCTCAGTAGATCGAAAGAAGAATCTAATTGTGCGGTTCCTAACATTATGAGCTAGAATATGAAGAAACTTTGCCACATGTTCCTCAATGCAACTATATGTGTTGTCTGTAAGGCGTCTAGTTCCTCGAAGAATCTCAACTAACTTAGCAAATGTATTTGCCCCATACGTAAAATGTCACGACTTCTTTCATTATTAATTGTCTTTTTCATTAATTTTTTCCTGACTTTTTCTCTCTCTCCAGCATTTTCCGCAATTGATCTATTTAAATATTTTGCATGTTGATAGTATGTCAATAATGTCACTAGATGGGCCACACAAGCAACCATCACTCCAACTGCCATTTGCTTCATTTGTTTTGGTTCTTCCATATTATCCATCTACAAATTTTAATCAAAGTAAGTAACATAGTAACAAAATAAAATTACAACAAACATCACTTACTCTTTATAATTTATTTAAAGAAATTTATTCATTAAATAAGCTAAATGGTTCAATGATGTGTCACTCAATGTCATACTTTCCATAATTTGAATCCCGTAGGCAATTGGTTGCGTTGGTCGGTAAAAGTGGTACAGAAGAAAACACTATAGCACAGAGAAAAAAAGACGTATTTAAATATGTGTTTCTTATTAAAGAGATCAGAATTGATTTATAGAATAGAAAAAGCTTACAGTTTGGCCTGGTCTTACGTATTGGAATAAAAGGATTGATGACAAAGAAGGAAAGACGATGGAATTACTGAAAATTCACGCGAATATTCATTTTTATAGAAAAAGTGATACGTCAAAAGAGGAGGATATTTTGGTAAAATTAAGATACTTTGAAAAAGTTGTTACTCACCTCGTCACAAATCCCATAAAATTTTGCCAATTTTCCCCTGATTTGTTATAACTACGATATTTTCTATCAAATCCGATGAAATCCAATTCCTATTAGAATTACTTCCTTTCCAAATGACATCAATTTTTATTCTAAAATCAAATTCCGTGGAATCCTATCCCATACGCGGTTTAGATTGAGTATTTGGTTTGCACTTGAAACTGATTTTTAAAATCCGAGTGGATCTATGTGTAGCCCAACCCTTTGTGCTGGGCTTTTTTTATTTTTTTATTGACATACTTGGTCCTTTTTCAGTTTTTTTTAAGGCCCAGAGGGAAAACCCCAAGTAAAAGTCAGACAAAGGAGAAAATTCCTATGGCAATTATAAGGGCCCAGGTCCAACAAGACAAGCGACCGTTCAAAGGGCATGCATACAATTGAGCTACCTAGACCTTCAGAAATCTCATAATTAATTAGGTCATTCCACTTCCCAATCATGGTCTTTTTCAGCTGTATTCACTTGATTAATAAAACTTTATTTAGAGTATAAGTCTAAATCAATTTTCTCATGCCTAGTAGCAGCAAAAAAAATTTCAAGGGAGCCACTGCTTGTATGTTAGGTCGGTCCCTGCATAGTAGAGTGTAGAGATGAAAAAAATTATCAGATGGTTCGGGCTTACATAATTAAGAAACGCTGCAGAATTAAATATGTCATTTGTATTCTATTTTTTAATTGCTTGACATATATTGATTGATTGGGATCACAGTCTCAGACTAACTAATCATTTCCCAGTAGAGAGATACTATTCATAAATCGCAAGGATTTGCATTAGAGGATATAATATGGGGTCATACTAATCAAACTTTACCAATCCAATGTATCAACAGAATGATCGAGTTTGATAATAATGAAATTAAGAATGGAATTAGGCCTTGATTGTTGCTTAAGGCCTAGACTGTAAAGTATGTGTGCCACCATTAGGTAGAAAAAAACCTTCTTAACCTAAGGATTTTAGATTTTGTCGACATATATATATATATATATATATATATATATATATATGGTTGAAAACTTTTAGATAAGGTCACGATAGTAGTGTGGATTTTGAAGTTGAAGGGTACAAATTATCTATCCATTCACTGTATGTGTACACATCTTGACAGTTCAGAAGATGTACCACTTCACTACATGTGTACGTGTCTTTACAGTTCATGAGATGCATTAATACTACAAGGACAAAGTTCAGAGTGTACATGAAAAATGCTTTAGATGATTCTGTGCCCAATAAGCATATTATCTATTTATTTTTAAAATTTAAGCACTCAACTAAATCAAACAAATCATTTAAAAATAAAATAAAAACAATTAAATCCAAATAAATCAAACAAAATATTTTAATTAAAAATAAAATAACTAAATCTCAATAATTAATTCCTCTAAAATATAAGAGTATTACAAAATGAGATAGAAGAAAAGAGATTCAGATAAGGAGAGATAAGGAGAAGGAACCAAAATTACTTCCCATGAAACCATGGAACTCAAATGAGTTAAGTGCGGAAGTTAGGGTTTCAAACCTGACAAGAAATGAATCAAGGGTAAAATGGTCATTTCATACAGAAATGAGTGCTACCAAGTATACCATTGGAAAGACAATGAAAAATGAACGAAGTTAGACTCAAGAATCGCCTGATTCGGAATCCGAATGAAAAATATATGAAGATAGAACAAAGTAGCATTTTCCGATTAAAAAATACCACGACCCTATCTCACTAAAACTGTCATAACTCTCACTACCGTTGGAATTTTTGTGTGTGATTGGGACCATTGGAAAGCTAACTTCAGGAGTGCCAAGTTAGCATATTTTAATAGAGTAAATAGATAATATGCATTTTAGATTATGTTATACGGTGTTGAACTCATTTTTTCATTGTCTACTTTATTATTATTTAATTAATTTAGAAGTGACGTGAGAGAAAAAGATAAAAATAAGGACAGCCCATGATTAAATAATTGTATCAAAATAGATGAATATACTCTATAACATTATTCAACGGTAAACAATGCAACAGAGAACAACTAATGTGGCCACAATTTTACTATTCCACTTTTCACCCACACCGACTCTCCTTCTCCATACTTTATACAAATATCATCTATTTTTGACCCCACCCCAAATGGTCTTATCTTCAACAGAGCATTAGTTTGATTGTCCCTCATTGAATACTTGAAGATCGAATGAGAGCTAAAACTAGGATTTACAAATCAAACTCTCTATTGTGTTTGCAATGAATCCCCTTAATTATGATCAAGAATTTGGTAAAAATATATTTCTTTCTACTTCCCAAAAAAAAAAAAAAAAATGTAGGTGGAAAACTGTATTATTTAGTGATATACACATGTGTGTGGTTGTGAAGGTGCACACCAAGCTCAGTTGGAATATTATGTCCTGTGAAGGAGGAGTAGTAGGGCATCTCGGTTCTAAGATTTGTAGGGCATAGGTAGCAATTAATGCATGCGGACCTCAGGCGAAAGCGATGCTTCACTACCTCTCCCAATGAGAGACACAGATGTGAATGCATTCCATAAGGTTCTGGGGTTGATATTTTGGTCACGCGTGTAACCCCTATATAGATATATCTATATGTGTGTGTGTGTGTGTGGGTGGTGTATATCTTGTTGTGCGGTGCCAAATTATTGAGAGTCAACAACCAGAGAGGACAGTACGTGTTCGTTAAGGCACATGTCCTCCCACCATCTTAATACTGCCAACGCTTGGGACACAATTTGTTAGCATATGTTTCTGATAAACCTTCAGACTCAAACTTAGTTTTTACCAATCTATAGTTTTTCCGTGTACTTGCATTTGCTTAATCCAACTTGTCATGTGTTCGTATTGGAGAGTACGTACAGTGGACCAGTTTGTGCATGCGTAGCTCTCCATCTCTCAAAACAAGAGCTAGAAATAAAAAAGTTTAGAGTGATTGTGATGATAGTAGCTAGAAATATTCCGCTGAGATATTGGTGGAGTAGTGGGGATTGATTGGCAACATTATGAGAGAAACATGTTTCAAAAGTTGAGGTATGAAAAATGAAATCAAGTACTTACATCACTAGTGACAAATTATACAGAATCCAAATTTTAAAGGAAAATTATAGTACTACTTTATAGCCCCACATTTGTCTGCACTCCTATTTTAACTCTACCTAGTTTGAACAAATATCTTCTGATTCAGGAACGGTGCACTAATTTGTATGTATTTAGTGTACAATGTGCCTTTCTCAAAAGAATTCTGACACCGTCCCTGCTCTGATTAAAATTATTGAGTTCAAATTTCATCTTATCATTTAAAACGTAATTAACCATATCCATATGATATGGATGTACATTTTCAAAAAAATAAAAAAGTAACCCTTCCTAGGCCTAGCATACCAAACGAAATGGTTGACATAATTTATTAAGGAACCTCAGCGTGCTTGTTGAAGATATGATGTTGGCTGGCTGAAATGATTGTGTGTGTGTGTGTGTTATACATAACAACTTTTTGTCTGATAGTTTCGAGCAACGTCACCATCTGCACACAGGAAGAAGGACGAAGAAAAGGACAGATCGATAAAATTAATTAATATCATGAAAATGTAACCAATTCTAAGTTTTGTTTATTTAATAGTTGCAACTAAAATTGCTTTGTTAACCTCAACTCCTCGATCCCATTTCTTGGGAAGAACCCTTGCAAGAATTAATGAAATATTTTCAACAAATTAATTAATTAAGCACACAAAACAAATTAATTAGTGGCATTGTGAAAACTTAATTGGATCCAATTTGCAATATGTCAACAATCAATATAATTTAATGGAAGGATCATGACAGCCAAGATTGTGGAGTCAACTATCTTCTATGTGTTTTGATCAAGAAATATTTTAGTCAATTCAGGCCATTGAGATCAGTACACAAGGGTGGATCCAAAAATTGTCAATAGGATGGACTAATATTTCTTTGGGTAGACTAATACTAATAATTATTATTATTATTATTATTTTTTATTTTTTATTTTTTGGGCTATGCTAAAATTAGGTATAGTAAAAACTGTAGCCGATAAATTCCAACTCAGATTCATGGCTACCGTGCATTAATGACGAGCGAGTTTGAATGGTTCGTGAAAGTTGAAAGTAGTACATCGCCTTTGCAACGATAGTTTAGCATTGTGGCAATGTAGTATGAAGACACATCCAAGTCTCCATACAATATAGATTAGCTCATTTGTTAGGCTCAATTGAATGTCACTATCTTGTAGTTATGCATAAACAGATTAGGAAAGCAATTAAGCATAACAATTGAACTGCAAGAAAATTACAAGTGACTGATCTTAAATTATTTGTGAATTCCATCGAGGGTGTTCTTGTAAAAAAAATCCATGTATCAAGACCTACCTTGTAAATCACAAGTATTGCAGTTAAGAGTGCTCAAGAGAGTGAAGTCACCAAGTGAAAGAAACCATATATTACTTCTAATATGGAAATTTCAATCTGTCAAAACATGAAGCTAAATCTTGCCATTAATTAAGCCTCAATTATAGATGTTTTTTGTCACACACATATATACACACACACACACACACTGTTTAAGCATATGAGTGGAAGACATTTTTTTACATATATATACACCAGCACCTGTTCCAAATAGCTACAGACAACCAAATACTGAAGTCAAAAATAAGATACTGAAATCTTTATACAAAAGTAACTTAATTTTTCATTTGTTCTCTTTCACTAAGGATCCTTACAGGGATAAAAGAAAAAAAGGTCCTTGTTAGAGCTTGATTTCAATTAACAACCATCAATGTCTTCTTCATCTGGCAAAATCAATACATGTGACACGTGGCTTATTGCAGCTTAATTTTAAGAACCATCAATGTCTTAACCTAGCAATATGAATACATATGACATGTCACAAACAGCCTTGCTCAATTGTCTGATCGAGTCCACCTCTAAACCATTACACTCTCCTAAAACAAATCTTCAATTGCCAAATAGAACACATTGTGATTAAGGATAATCAAAAACTTCAAGGACACTAAAAATTGAAAATTATTATCATTAGCAAAAAAGGACTAGTACAAGCTAGTGTTGGGACAACATACAATTAAACACCACTATTATGTAATGTAGGCCTAGCTAGTAGACTGCTTTTGCTGCTCTAGTGACAACTTCAGCTGTTAGGCCTCAATCTCACTGTTTTGTGCTTGCTCAAAACATGTCAATTAACCCAATTTTCTTTTCTTTGCTTCCTACAATCTCTTTCTCATCCAAATGCGCGCCAATATTGCCTCAAACCTAAGCCTGGCTGGCACAGACACTTTACTTATATGCATCCTATTGCTCGTCAAACAATTCCCGCACAAACCAAGGGCTGTAATAAAGTTGAGAGTTTAAATCCCAATGGGGGCAAAGTAATTGTTTTAATAATAAATAAAAACCATTTCCGCAAAACAAACATAAGTTCAATACATGATGCCAACAATTGATATTCAAACAATTTTTTTTTTTTTTTTTTTTTAAAAAAATAATTTGGTAATGTCAATTTATAAAGAATACAACGACCAACCCAAGACTGAATTTGATTAAATTAACTCAAATCGAATGAATAAAAAATAGATACATGTATACAAGAACTAATACGTTCAAGAAGTTGACATACATACACATGCATATATGTGTGTATATATATATGGGGACGCATACAAGCTTACCATATGATTGAAAGTCTATCCATCAATCGACGTGGCATCACCCGAGAACGTCCCGCCTCAAGAATTCCGACACCACGATATCAGGCAAATAATCACTAACGCTCTCAGACAAGAATTCTGTCCCACCAACCACCAGCTCCGGCAACTCAATTTCACCCCAGAAATCATCAACACTGTCACCGTACGGTGCATCGCTCTTCTTCTCCGCCGCCACCACCGCCTTTGCCGCCAGTGCTGCAGCCGCCTGAATGTCTCTAGCCGCACTAGTGAGAGGCCGGGGTAAGAGCTCCACCTCGTTCGGAAAATTAAGCTGCGCTTTATGTCCTTTGAGGCAATATGCGGCGACGTCATATGCTCGGGCAGCCATCTCCGGCGCCGGAAAAGAACCTAGCCATATGCGAGTCTTCTTTCGGGGTTCCCGGATTTCGGACACCCATTTGCCCCACCGTCGTTTTCGAACACCCCGGTACACTGGGTGCCTCGTGCCACCTTGTCGGACGATGGGTTCGGGGCAATTTTCTCCGGTGGTTTCCGGTGACTTGGTTGTATCATATTCATTGCATGGCGGAGGTTGCTCCATGGCATATTAGGAACCATTTGCTTGGTCACCTTATATATATTTTGCATGTTAAATGTTGGACGAATGATAAAATTACGAGACTACCCTTCTCAACAACCACAAATTAATACATCTAGTGGACTTTAAATCCACTACTATTTAACAAGCTACATCAACAATGCAACAACACAAAATAAATGATAGAATATTCATAAAATATTTTTACAAAAAAAATGAATAAATAACAGCGTGCAATGTATAAGATCCAGTTCCAACATTATTAAATCGAAAATTTAATACATTTAAGTCACTATAGTTTTTGCTATTTAATTATGCAATGTTTGGTGATACCGAATCAACGTCTTGAATTATTTGAGATTAAATAAAATTTAATAAAAATTTTGAATAAAATTTCTCCTAATTCCAAATTCAAAGTATCGATTTGATACTTCCAAACATAACATTAGGTGTGTTCAGCTGTATAGAATTAGAGGTTTGGAATTAGAATTGGTGGAATTTGAAAAAATTTTAATTTAACTTTCTTAATTATTTTTTTCAAATTCTAAAAATTTCAATTTTAATTTGAATACTTCAATTTTACCCGGCCGAACTTTGAAATTGTTAGACTAAAATGTGGTGTAAAGAGGATCCTAATTGGTGGCCAAAGAAGAGCAGTTGGAGATTTTGTTAAAATATTAATGCACACACCGTAATGATGATATTCATAGTACCCTTTTACGGAAACTCATTGTCAGCGTAACGCCTAAAGTTTTTGGTCCCCGAGGGTTTAAGGGTTCACATGTGGATGGCAACACGAGATCTTGGTGACCATGTTAATTTTGTATTTTTATGGGCTTTTTTTGGTACCATTTTTCACACGATATTTGGTGCTCTAAAGCTACCAGTGATTTCGATACTACATATATATATATATACATATACACACACACTATATATTATGGTGCAAATCTAAGACAGGACGTGAAATGTCACTTGGATTGTCCCTTTAAATTAATTATTAGTTGCTACATCCATGTGAATATCTTTCCGGTGGAGGCTTATGGCCTGTTTTATGGATAAACATATTCACGTGCCATTTTAAAACTGGGATAGAGTCGAGGGTTTTATAATTGAAAGCAAAGATGATTTATACTATATATATTTAAAGGATATAAATATTAACCCTACCCTATCAAATTATTTGGTGGCCAACATATATAGTCTCATGAGTTCAAATATTTTCTGTCTTTTTTTTACTCAAATTTAAAATTTGAGGAAACGCATGTTAGAGGGTTTATATATTAAAAAATGAGACTTATTATTTTAATTAAATGAATATAAATGATTTTTATGTATAGCTTTAACCTAGTGGGTAGTGGGCACTCTCTTATTTAAATTTTTTATTTATTTTTAAAGTACAAAAATATTCATGTTATAGAAACTGATTTTTTTTATAAAAAAATCTTTAAATACTATTTTGTATTTAGAGAACAGGAACGAGAAAGAGAGTTATTTCTCATAAAAATTCAATATTTCTGTTAACAAAAATTAGTGGTTGGTGTTAAGAAAAAGATGTGATCAATCATAGTTTTGGTTTTCCTATCAAAATTCAAAACCCAAGGCAAAAGATTTCAAATTGGGGGGGGGGGGGGGGGGGATAGAAAATTTACTGCCAAAAAAAAAAAAAAAAAAAATCAAGCAAAGCAAATGAAAACATCAAAAATAATACCACGTCATGCCAAATAGCCCATGAGTCTTTTTCAATCCTCTAATTCTAATTTATTTGTAAGTTTATTTTCTGAGTTGAGCCATTTATCATTTATGTTTTATTATAAATTAGGTAATTTGGGGGGTTAATGAAAAAATTCAAATAGAAAATTTAGTGCAAAAAAAAAAAAAAATCAAGCAAAGCAAATGAAAACATCAAAAATAATACGACGTCATGCCAAACAGCCCATGAGTCTTTTTCAATCCTCTAATTCTAATTTATTTGTAGGCTTATTTTCTGAGTTGAACCATTTATCATTTATGTTTTATTATAAATTAGGTAATTTGGATTGCGGTTATAACTAATAAAAAATAATAATATTAATTTTTATTTTTTATTTTTTATTTTTTAGACCTGGACCATATCCTAAGCACACAAGAAACTCCACCCCGCATAGAGCAGTTCAAATTGGATACTTACTACGGGTCAATAAGTGACAGGGATGGTTAATAAGTGCATTTATTTGTGTTGGCAGAGTTCAACCCCACACCCACAGTGATGTGGACATGCTCAATGTAATCGTGGCTCTTCTTCTTTTTTATTCTTTTTTTTTTTTCCTTCTGGTTTTGGTTTTTTCTGACAAAGAAAGAAAAAAAACTCGTAGTAACGTGGAAGGCTTGGAGCCAAATAAAACATTAACTATCCCTTCGTTAAACTCTTTTTTTTTTCTTTTTTTATCGTTTTTTGTTATTAAAGTCTCTCAGTATTCGAAATTATATATATCAACTTGTGTTCTGTCCAACAGTTATATTAGCGTCTTCAATGGGGCTCTTCAATTTTGATGCATGGGCTCCATGTTTTTTGTTTTTTCCTCCAATGGTCCAATTCCGGAATTTGTGCAACGATCTTAAGGGTGTGTTTGGCCCAAATCAAAACCCAAAAACTGCTTTTTTGTCTTTCTTCTTTTTTTTCTTTGCCTGACTAAAATAAGAACTACTATTTGGTTTACACAAATAATGTCTAAATAATTTTATTGCCCAAAAAGAAAAAATTGATTTTCAAATATATTATTGGAAAAGAGTAAAAAAAAAACTATATAGTTATTGTGAGTGTATAAATATTAAAAAATTTAACAATTAAAATATTATTATACGAAGGCAAAATGCTGGCGTGGCTTACCAAAACGATGCCTTCTCTAACCAAAATTTGAAGACCATTGTAACGCCTTCGCCAACCAAAATCTGGAGACCATAGGAACACCTTCGCTAACCAAAATTTGGAAACTATTGTTACGCCTTCACTAATCAAAATTTGGACCGTTTAAAAGGATCAAAATATGACGTAACTCTTCAAAATGCTGATGTGACAAATTTAAAGAGTATGATCTGCATAAAATTAATAGCTCTTTTTTTTTTTTTTTCACAATTAACCATGGTTATTTTCGAGTCTACAATATATACACATACAAAGACTCTGATAATCATGTTTTCCATCTATTAGTAGTACGGTAAGATGCGAATGAAATTTTTTATTTTAATAGTGTTTTTTATTTTAAAAAATAGAAGAACGGAAGTTTTCATAAGAATAATACGATTCACGAGCATGTTTTGTCATATCGATCGATACGTGACGTATGAATCGATTCATAATCATTTTTTAAGGATCCGGTATCGTTACACCCTTCCCTAAATTAATCGGTTCGCTCGATTTACACTGATATTCACTCGAATTCGTTACACTGCGACTGTGAGTGGGATTAAAATAAAGTATTGACCATAAACTTGCCAACACTTGATTAGTCGCGAGTTTTAATTTTTCACGAAGTATTTGAGAGGATCATATCTAGTTCTAATTTTTAACGAAGCATTTTAAAGGAACATATCGAATTCTAATCCGTGTCTGTCTACATGTTTTAGATTTTGCATGAAGAGTTGAAGGGATCATATTGAATTCCTAAGGGGGCACTTGGGCTTGAACAGGTATTCTGTGTTTCCAGTACATCGAACACATCACAATTATTCATCTTGTACACGCGCAGATCTACAATGTTTTGTCCTCTCTCTATGACAAAATGGTTACAGTACCACTTGTAGGTGACACATCTTATTAATACACTAACATGTTGGACACTGTTATTACATGTTAGGTCGACTGTCAAGGTCGGATCAATATCATCCCACTATCCCTTATCCTCCATTTGAACAAATGAATTTGAAATGAATATATTTGAATTTGAATAAAATATTGTTTATTGAAATTGAATTCTGAAACTCAAAAGCATACTGGATTAGAGGCATGAGAGTCATTTTTTAATGCAATCCTTTTCCACATAACTCCTCCCATCTGATTTGAACAAGTAAATTTGAAATGAATATATTTGAATTTGAATAACATATTGTTTATTGAAATTGAATTCTAAAACTCAAAAGCATACTGGATTAGAGGTATGAGAGTCATTTTTTAATGCAATCCTTTTCCATATGACCTAGTTAAGGACTATTGGGGACATCCGCCCTCACTGAATTTTTTTCTATTTACATTATTATTTATATTTTTTGTTAAAATTTTGAAAATGCCCCCTATCAATTTGTAATTTTTTTAAAATGCCACCCCAATTTGTAAAAATACCACACTTCACATTCTTGCCCCCGTCAAACCTACCATATTCATGATTCTCTCTCACATACTTTGATATTCTCACTCAAATTTAAAAAATACCCATTATATATATTCTTGCATTTTAAATCCAAAAGAAAATAAAGTAAATCGATTTTCATATTTCTTCATTTCCCACATCCATGGTAATCTAGAAAGCAGGGACATAGTTAAAAGATCAAAAAATATGAATTAGACAAGCCAAAAAAAATTAAATTCTTATATTTATTATTTTATTTTAAAAAATTATCTTCAATTTTTTTATTCTTCAACATTGCCCCCTCTCAAAAAAAAAAAAATTCTGAGTCCATCACTGCTTTAATTATTTGAAATCCATACATACAAGTGATTAAAAAATTGTTAACATTTAAACTTAACTCACTAATTCAAAATTTATTCCATAATAAAATGATTGAAAATAAATTGGTTCAACATAACCCTAAGATGTGAGTTTGTAACTTGTCACCCCGAAAGCCTAAGATGTCCAAATTCAGATACTATATTGGTCCAAGTCTAGTTTTGTTGTTTTGGGCCATCTTTAAGCCCAAAACTAATTTATCTTGAAGCCCATGTCATTCTTTTGGATTGTCAAATGCCGAAATATTCAGAAAGTCAACCCACCAACGCAGAACAAAATGGGCCGGAAGTATACCAGCTC